CTTCCCAGACCAAAGGGCTGCGTCGCCTTTGCCTCGATCCACCATGCACCGCCGGCTGCAACGACGTCGATTGTTGCGGCGGACTGACCCGGCGGTCGTACTGTCTTGGAGAGGGAGACGCCGTCCGGCGCCCACGCCCAGACATCGAGCTCAAACTCGACTGCGATCAAGTTGTTGGCGGCGCCAAGCAGGCGCGAGCCGCTCGAATCGTCCCCTCGCACGGCGTCCAGCTCGCTCTCTACGCGGCGCTGCAGCCGTGCTGCTCCGGGCACGGCCTCCAAAGCTGCGATCCGATCGAGGAGCGCGACCGCCTGTGCCTCGAGGTCGTTGGAGGCGGGAGCCCGGCCGAGGAAGCCGGCCGCCGCGAGAGCAGCCATTTCTCCTTACAATTTTCAGACCCAAACGTCGGCACGAGCGTCTTGAAGGCGACCTTCATGGCTGGAGAGGCCGGTGGCAGAGGCGCCCGGGTCAGTTTTTTCTTTTTTACAGTGCGCCGGGGAAAGAGGAGTGAAGTGCTGCATGAAGGCATGTGCGATGCGCCGCCGCTCTACAAGTTTTAGGTTGTTGTTTGTTGCTCTCTACAAGTAGTGTGATACTGGGTTCTCCCCCTCTATCAGCCTCGCCGAACGTTATATTGTGACTCCGACTTACCTCCAATCGCAAAAATAAGTCAATGCGCGAACTTTGACGTGTCACGAGTTCGCGGATCGCGCGTCCCGAGCCGCTGCCGCTGCCGGAACAACATACATGTGGCTGCCTAGCCACGACGCACGCTGCGGCCATGCGACGAACTGCTGCGTTGCGACGGAATCAAATCTCACCGTAGCAGGCGACACCTTTTGCCGCCTCACCAACTCGATACTCGTGACCCTGGCCGCCTCGGCTCCGCTCTCTTTGCACATCCGCAGCCTTTGCGAAGCTAGCGCGCGGTGCAATTGCTGCTTGACCCACCTCGCTCCTGCCAATGCAGAGTCTTCGCGTCGAACGTCGGTGAAGTTACCCCGAGGCCCACAGATCCGCATCATGAGGGCGGAGGCTCCTCAGCACAAGACCTTTGGGCTCGAGTACATGTACGAGCCGCTCACCGCGAGCCTGCTGCGAGGTTTCCGCGCTGTGGCGACAGGGTGCCACGCTTAACGCGCACGGATGCTTAATGCACACGCACGCACGCACGCACGCGCGCGTGCGATGGTCCGACTGACTCTTCTTGATCATGAGAGCTCTTCGCGCCTCTTAGCGCCTTGGCGCTTCGCCCTCTCGTAGGTACGAGTCGAGTACCCATATGGACCGGCTGAAGATCACAACAATGCTGACGCCTGCGCTTACCTCAACACTTTCTTCCCCGACGGGCAGCCATACACGCCGATCACAGCTGTGCGGTCTAATGGATACTTCAACCAGGGCGACGGAGGCAACTCCTACTTTGTCTTTATGTGCGTCCAGCACTCTGTGCAGGGCAAATGCTCTCCAAATGAAGCGGGACAAGACCAAAACCCTGTCACAAATGTGATGCAGCTTGGGGCTGATGACTCCAAGTCCAAGTGTGATGGGTTTCCTGCAGCCGAAATCGTTTAACGAATCAGGATCTCGTGCCTCAAGACTTCAACAAAGGGGCAGGTGGCAAATACATCTACGCCTGTTTGTTTCGCTCTGCCCCCCTCCGAGCAGAAGCCTGTGGCTTGTGGGACCTCGCTATAGCCACCACCACGGTCGGCGCCACGGACACTTGCAAGACATTGACTGACACCTACGGGGAGAATCACCTCTATGTCAGTGCTGAATGGGGCGGGGTTGGAGCAAACGGCAACTGGAACCTAGGCAGTGCTTGCCATTTACTGGTAAATGAGTGGTATTTACCACTTATTTGATTCTCCTGGGGAGTGGTATGGTATGAGCAGAGAGTGGTATGGTAAAATACGAAACTCCGTGGAATCATCATTTTTTCGAGCTCTGAGCCGAGTCTGAGGCTGGTTTGCCGCCAAATTCAGCAAAATCGGCAAAATACCCGGTATTTTGCGGGTATACCTGGAAAAACCCGGGTATACCTGGGAAATACCCGGTATTTTGCCGATTTCTCCGATTTCTGTCAGATTTTGCCTCAGAAGTCGTGGTAAATCTTACCACCGTTTGATTGTTTTGGCCGTAGAGTGTTTGATTGTTCTGGTGGGCTATACCAGTAAATGGCAAGCACTGAACCTAGGTGCCTCCGGACGGTCCGGAGGCCAAGACAAGGCGCTCTGCCAAGGCAGCTTCACTTGGCAGCACGGCGTTTAAGCAAGTCTTGAACGTGGCGCCAGAGCAAGGGGACCCCCCCGTTGGGCATGGACCCGGTCGACGCGGCGCAGGCTTACCGCATGGCGGTGATGGCGCAGAACAAGTCCAAGACTCCTCCTCGGCCGTGGATGTTGACGCTGAGTAATAATCCGTGCTGGGAGGGAGGGGGAGGGGGGGGGGGGGGGGGATCCTGATGGGGGAATTGCCCACAATCGCGTATGCAGGAGTCCCTGCTCCCATATGACACACATAAAAAAGGGTTCGTACATTTTAGTTCATTTACCGGGCGGCGCCTCAAGCGAGCTTGTTAGTGCCAGTGCGCGCCAGTCCCGCGCCCAGTTTGTGTTATGAGAGGGCGCTCCCAACTCTGACTGTGCGCCGGCTAGCAATCCTTGGATCTTTGGGACTTTTCCAGCCGCAAAGGCCAATAGGCCAAAGCGCAATTCCGCGGACCGCGCGTCTTACGTTTCGCACTTGGAGCACTTGGAGTGCAATCAGCATCCGCACATCCACGGCCAGGGGGCTAAGAAGCACACCCAGCGGGCCAGATGATTGGCATCGGGTTGCGGGCAAGAGAGCCGTAGCCCTGGGGGGTGCGCGTTCGCAGGGTGCAGGGAAAGGGCCGTAAAGTAAACACGGTTCGCCGAGGGTTGGTTCCGTGTACCGGGTTTCCCCTTAACTGCAGAACGCCCCCTCTACTCGGAGCTACTGGAACGCGACACCACGCCGACGTGCCGTGAGCGAAGTTTTTTTGCGGCTGTGCACCGTGAAGGGGGCCCGGGGTTGTGCAGTTCGTGAAGGGTGGGCGTCCTCTAGATCTCTCTCTCCTGCGGATCGGTGCCGGCCTCAATCGCCTCCGAAGGCCTTGTAATGGTGGAGGTGCGGGAGATCCTGCCCGATGGGAGAGAGGTCTTGCTCCCGGTGGTGACGGACGCCGCATCGAGCGGCGGTGAGAGCTGCAGCCGCGGCGGCGGCAGCGGCGACGCTGGCGGGACAGTGCAGGTGCGACTCCTGCCTCGGCACGAGCGCCAGTGTCCCAACATCGACCTGACGCCGAGCGTCCCGCGCGACGCGATGCACCTCTTCCGCCCCTTCCCGCTGATCCGCGCGCCGCCGGCGCTGCTCCTTCCCGGCAGAACGGCGGAGGGCGGCGGCGCGAGCGGGAGCGATAGCGACGCGATGGACGGCTGCTCGCCTCCGACGGTGCGCTGCGGCTGGGGCGAGGGGCGCTGGCGGGCGCGGCGGCGGCGCTACGACGAGGCCTGCGGGAGCGCCGACGAGTGCAGCGGCTCTGGCTCGCCGCCGAGCGGCTCCGCGCCTCCTTCGGCGAGGGAGGGGCAGGCGCAGCGGGCGCGCAGCGTGCGGCATGGGTCGGAGCACGAGGTGGACCGCCTCGCCGCGCGGCTGGACGGCTGGTGCGGGCCCTCCGCGAGGAAGCGCCTCCGCGGAGGCTGCCTCGGGGCCGGAGGCGGGGGAGGCGGGGGAGGCGGGGGAGGCGGGGGAGGCGGGGGCGAGGGCCGCGGCAGCGAGGGCGGGGGCGGCGGCAGCGAGGGAGGCGGCGGCGGCGGCGGGGGGAGCGACGCCCCTGTGGCGTCGGGGTCGGCAGACCACGCGCCGGCGAGGTGGGCGCGCAGGGAGCCTGGCTCGGGTCATCGACCCAGCGACACGGCGCGCGGGAGTCGGACGAGGTCGCCGCTCGCGGGCGCGAAGCGAAAGGCGAGCGGCTCGGTGGACGAGACGCGCGCCGCGATGGGCTCGCTGCGGCTCCGAGCCGACGCCCTCCGGCGCAGCGACGCCGCCGAGGCGTCTCGCAAAAAGTGGAGGCCGTGGGAGGGCGTCGCGGTGTCGCAAAAGTGCGAGGGCTTCGGGTAGGCCGAGCAGGGGGCGGCGGCTCCAGTAGTGCGTAGTTCGATGTCGAGAGGCGCCCGTCTCTCACCGCGGTGCGTCTCGCTCTCGGGGATCGTGGACGTAGTGTGTGAGATGTGTCGTGTGTAGTGTGTTGTTTGCCGCTCAGCGTTTGCTGTGTGACTGTGCGTCTCTGTGCTCGACTGTGCGCGTGTCGCGGTACTGTGTAGAGGACTGAGGATGAGAGGTGCGTCGCCATTAGGTGCCGCCTTGCGGTAGCCAACGGAAGAAAACCTCTCGCCTCTTGTGGAGCACTTGGAGATGGAGTGCAGTCATATCCCAACACACACACACAGCCGCGCACATCTGTCATCTCCAGGCCTTCTCCAGCATCCAGGGCCGCAGCGCGCAGGGCCGCGGGGGGCTGAATCCTAAAAGAAGCACACCCACCTCTGGGCGGCCAGATGATTGGGATCGGGTTGCGGGCAAGACGAAGAGAGCCCTAGCCCTGGGGGTTGCGCGTTCGCAGGGGGAAAGGGCCGCGTAAAGTAAACGCACGATTCTCCGAGGGTTAGCCCCGCGTACCGGGTTTCCCCTTAACTGCTGCAGCGTGCAGGGGAACGCCCCCTCAGTCTACTCGGAGCTAATGAACACCACACTGCACGCTCCACACGCGGCGAGGCTGCTTGCGGCGGGGCATGTGCTGCATTGCATCGCGATGAGCCAGGTTGACGGCGATGAGGAGAGCGACGAGCGAGACAGCGACGAGGAGAGTGTTTTCACCTTGAGGAGGAGGGGAGGAGGAGGAGGAGAGCGAGGAGCGAAGACGGCGACGAGGAGGACGGCAACAAGGACGACGCTCGCTGGGGGATGACACCCACTCCGAGTGGGTGCTGTTGACTAGTTCCGAGATATGGCACGCTTCTCTATGGTGTCAGTCTCTAGCTCTACGGCGCTGTAAGTTTTGGTGAGACGCCACAGACGCCTAGTCTCGATAGGTTTAGGTACAGAGCACGAGGCGTGTTTGTTATGACCCCCCCCAATGAACACACCAGTGAGGGAGGGCGCGAGACGATCGAGGGGTCCCGTACCATCGCATGCGGAATCGACCCTATCCAGTGCTCAAGTGCTCAAGCACGAGGCACTGAGATAAACGTTTCACTTTTGATTTCACCGTCAATTATTCACGCTGCGTTGTGCTGGCGCGCGCGGCGCCGAGATAAGTGGGGAGATTTCGTTTTGCTATTTTGAGAGATATGAAGGGATTTAGTATTAGTTTTTCCCCCGATTTTGCGATTATGTTTCGAAAATTCGCCCGCTCGTCGACGTCGTCATCAACAGGCGGAGTGGCGGCGGTCCGGGAGGAGCTGGGGGAGCACTTGGGGGAGCACTTGGCCGGCCATTTGTCTTCCGTTCGCACTTCAGGGTGTGGGCCACAAGCCCACAACCACAGCGCGTTGCTGCACGCCACTCGCGCTGCACCCCGGCGCGGCTGACAGTCTCTGCGATACGTGGACACACTGCACGGTAAGGTGCATCGCCCTAACTATCGAGGGCCTCACGGATGGCATCTGCACTGCCACCATTATGCGCGTTCGCGTAGCCCATCTCACGGAGCAACGCCGCTGCACGAGCGCCTCGGCCCACGTACGGAGTGTCTCCCGCTGTGCAGTGCGTTACTATGGGCGCGTCGGTTGGGAGAGTCACACCTGCCGCTTGCAACTTTTCTGTGAACTCTGCGGCTGTCGTCTCATGCTCGGACTGCGGCTGTCCATCCACGTTGAGCGGCACGTTCACGCTATCCTCAACCGCGACGCCACCCTTGGCCGCGGCCACCTCCTTGGCAGAGCGCACATCGATGATAAGTGGCCGCGGCGACAATTTTTTGAGGAACGTCGCCGCTACGGGCTGCCTCGTCTGCGAGAGTTGAGACATCTGCACATGGGGACGGTCGCAGGTAAGAAAAACGCGAACGATTGATTGCGATAGAAAGCCTCCCATCCCTCCCTTGGGCTGTCTGTTTTCTTTCTTTCTTTCTTTTAGAAAGGCGACTAACTCGGACTGGACACCAACGCGGTATGGGTGGACGCGGGACAGAAGAGGACGACACGCGCGAGCGACGCAGCCGCGTCCCGCAGCCTCCCCCGGCAGCCGAGCAGCCGTGCCCCCGAGTTCATTTTAACAACAAACTCACGACGCACCAGCTAGGCGCCCGCCCCGGCGGTGAACGAGCGGAGCGAGTGAGCGCCGGGGCGGGCGCCTGGCGGCACCACGGAGCTCCTTGGCGCGGGCGAGACAAGAAAAAGAATTTCCATACGCGCACTCTCGCGCTTCTCCTGCCCGATCCCCGCCGCCCGGCCCGAAGCGCTGATGGCGGCCCAGCCCGAATGGTCAGTCATGCTTGGCGGCCAGTATGAGCCGTACGATGCTCCCACGGCCAGCGCCATTGAAGAGGCGTTCCAACGCGGAGACGAGGAGGTCCAAGCGACCATCGACGGCAAGCTGTACGTCATTGTGCTCAAGCCGCCGATGAAGCAGCAGCTCTCCTCCGATCCCACCCGGCAGCGGGCGATCCAGCGCCAGCCCGCACCGGCAAACGAGGCGGCAGCGTCCGCCACCGCAGTCGCATCTCCATCCACCGAGGCCCCGGCGCCCGCGTCCGCCGCGGTCGCAGAAGCCCCGGCGCCCGCCGCATCCACCGAGGCCCCGGCGCCAAAGCGCCAGCGCGAGAGCCCGCCTCCCTTCGCCGTCCTCATCTTTGCTCCTGGCGCCGGCGGGCAGACGGCAAAGGCGATGAGGGCCCTGCAGGATAGCGCGCTCGAGCGCGAGGGCGTCGCCGTCTTCCGCTGCGACGACCACCCGCCCGGGCCGAACGAGGCGCGGTGGATCAATTCGTCCGCCGGCTGCGCCAAGAATGTGGCGCACGTGCTCGCCGTGGCGCGGCGCGCGGCCGCCGCCCACCCCACCCTCCCTCTGCTCCTCGGCGGCGCCTCGTTCGGCAACCGCGTCGTGTGCGAGGTGTTGCGCAGCCACCGGGCGGAGCTGCCCTCCCGGGCGTGCAACGCGCTCCTCCTCTGCGGCTTCCCGCTCAACCCGCCCGACAAGGCCGAGGGCGCCGACCAGAAGCGGCTCGCCCACCCGCCCGCTGGGCCGGCCCTCTTCCTAGACCCTTCCCGGACCCTTCCTGCATCCCTCCCCGCAGGCCAGCCCACCTGCTCGCCCTTCCGGCGGGCGTGCGCGTGCGGCTGCTGCAGGGCGGGAAGGACGAGTTCAACGGCCCGCGCGGCATCCTCGCGCTCAACGAGCTGGCGCCGAGACACTTCCGAGACACTTCCGAGACACTTCCGAGACACTTCCGAGACACTTCCGAGACACTTCCGAGTCACTTCCGAGACACTTCCGAGACACTTCCCTCTGCCGGTGCCGAGAACCCCCCCCCCCCCCCACCCACCCCCCCACCGCTCCCACCGCTGCCCATCTCGTGGCGGCATAGGTGGCGCAGATGGCGGCGACGGCGGAGGTGGTTGAGGTTCCGGGAGGGCAGCACACGCTGCCCGCAGCAAAGGGCCTGAAGCAGCTCAACTGGACGCAGGCGCGCACGCGTATGGCCGACATGTCCATGACACGCCCACGACACGCCCACGACACGCCCACGACACGTCCACGACACGTCCGCAGGCGCAGGTCAACACTTTCGTGGTCGACGCAATGGTCGAGTTTGCGCGCCTGGCCGCCGCGGCGGGCGGGGCCTAGAGGAGGCTGGTCGTGCGGAGAGGGAGAGCGGAGCGCTGGCGCGGCGAGCAGCAGATGCGCTGGCAGGCAGGGCCTAGCGTCCACATGCCCCGTCATTTGTCGACCTCTGCCCCCGGGCCTCCCGCGCACGGGCGCGTTGCGGTGTCTAGCGGGGCGGAGCATAACCGCGCGAGTAATGGTGTTCGCCAGGCGGTAGCGCGCAGGCGCGACGCCCCATGTGAGCGACTCAGTACGTTGACGTTGTCGCGGTTCTGTACGGCTTTGTGTCGAATTGCGCGCGGCGGTGGGCGCGCGATCTAACTGTGGGGTAGGGATCCCTACGGCGGCGCTCGCAATATTTGAAGAGTCGAAGCCAAAACAGTCCACACAAAAAGGTGCGTCAGAGGGAAATAAACGAAACGAACCTCTCCGCGAGAGAGAGCAATTTTTGATTTTCTGTGCTGTGTCGAGTGACGTGACACCGACACGTGACAGTGTGCACTATAACTGCAGGCTGCGCGCAGGTGTGAGCCCTGGGACCCAGCGCTGACTTCTGACTGTCGATGCTGTCTATCCCTTTCTCGACTGTCTGAGCTTGTGCGTCTTGGGGCCGGGGTTGTGTTTTTGTGTGAGACCAGAGAGCATGGTGGACCAGAGTAACGCGATGGATCCCACGCAGGCGTGGCGGTCAGGCGGTGTTGGGGGGGCGGCCGTCAGTGCACGGGGAGTTGCTCGGCCCGAGCGCTCTACACTCACACATCCTCACCCGCCCATCGTCCCCTTACCCGCCCTGCACCCCCATCGGCATCGCAGAGAAGGGGAGTGTCGCACCGACCACCGTCTCGCTCACGCCGCTCTCTCGTCGATCCTCTCTCGTCGTCCTTCATCTTGATCACTCGGCGCCGTCCGCTGATGAGTCGTCCTCGTCGCTCACGCCAGCGCCGCCTGCGGGTGCGGCGGATAGAGGTGTTTGCGACGGAAGAGACGGGAGCGAAGAGGTGGTGGCGCCTGTGATGTGCCTGCGACGGCGTCCGCGACAAGCCCCGTCGTCGTCGCCGCTGGGGCGGGCGCTGAGGCGGGCGCCGCCGCTGGAGCGCCGGGGGCGGGCAAGGCGGCTTCGACGGCGCTGCTGTTGCCCTGGCCGCTGGCCGCCACTTGCGCGCGCAGCGCCGCCACCTAGGGGGCACGCATACGCAAGCCGGTTGGGCAGGCGCATACACAAGCCAAGCGCTCATAGCGTGTGATTGTGGAGACCAACCCGCAAGGCTGCATCTAGCGGCAACGCCTCTGCCTTGCGCCTCGTCCGCGACTGAATCGGCCGAGTCTGCCTTGCGCCTCTTTCTCGCACACGGACGGCAGAGGGCGCCGCCGGCGAAGTGCCGCACTTGGAGCAAGGGGACTCCTGAGGCGGAATCGGCGCTCCTCCGGCCGCCTGCTCCTCGTCGATCTCCTCATCGATCGGTTCGGGATTGATGACGACCTCGTCGGCCGCCTGGACCACCCCCGACGCTGCAGCGGTCGCGGCAGCCGGAGCGGGCGCAGCAGCAAACGGTGCGGCGGGCGGCGGCTGGACCTCCACGGCGGCGGGGGCCTCCGCGGCGGCGGCGGCCTCCGCCGCTGCCTTTGCCGCCGCCGCTACCCTCGCCACCTCCTCGGCCTCCTCCCGCGCCCGCTTGGCCTTAGCCGCGGCTGTCGCCTCCTTGTGCGCGGCAAGCGCCGCCTCCTCGTCGGCCTCCTCCCGCGCCCTCTTGGCCTTAGCCGCCGCTGCCGCCTCCTGCAGCGCGGCAAGCGCCGCCGCCGCCATCTCTCGGCTTTGCGGCAAGCGGCCACCTTCATCTGCATCCTCGCGAGCCGCGCCTCCTCGCCCTGCAGCGCCGCCTTGCGCCGACCAAGCTCCTCGAGCGCCTCGTCGAGGTCCGTCTGCTTCTTGTCGACGCAGCGCTGCGCCTCCTCGAGCGCCCGCGTCGCCGCCGCGACCTCTTCCCTTGTCTCCTCCATCTCCTCCGAGAGAGACGTATTGATGTAGTGCACGAGGCCCGGCAGGAACTGGTCCTTGAATGGCGGCACGAGCTTGTTGATGGCCGCCACGCTCGCAACGACTACGGAAGGGTCTGTGGTGCTTTCGGTGAAGGCGGACTCGGACGTGGCACCGCCCAAGATGGGCCCGGGCGTGGCCCCAAAGAAGGTGCCACGAGCGGTAGGGCTGATGTCGTCAACTGTTTGGGCCTGCACACGCCGGTCGGGAGTGTGAGACTCAGTCTGCCTGTGAGGGGATGGAGGCGGCGGCGGCGTCGGCGGCGGCGGGTGCGGAGGGGGCGAGGGCAGCGGAGGTGGTGGCGCGGCGCCGGAAGGGTAGGGCGGCAGCGATGACGGCGGCGGAGGGGCTGGAGGCGGAGGCGAGGGAGGAGGGAACAGATTACTGCAGGGCGGAGCGACGCACCGGCAGGGCAGACGCCGGTAGGGCAGACGCCGGCAGCGCGATCAGAAGAAGCGAGGCAATCTTCATCAGTATGTCCGCGACCCTCATATGCATCACAAAAGTGCCCGCCTCTGGTGCCCGCCTTCCACGTTTTTTTTGGTTTGGCGCTCTGTGTATCTCGAGACCTCGAGAGAAGGCCGCCCGCAGGGGGCCCAAGTCTAAATTGGCTTTCTTTTGGCGGGCAATTCCCCCTTGCGATATGTAACCCTATAAAAGGCCGTAGAACTAGAAGAAGATAAAGGACGTGGATGCTGGGTTGAACAAAATCGGAGGACGCGACCCACTTCGCCACAGACGGTCCCGCGCCTCGCCAGCGGCGCGTGCCACTGTCTTTGTCCGGAGTGAATACTCCAACGCGCTCGTCGGTGGCGGTGTCCTCCAACCTGCGCCACGCTCGGCGAACCTCGACAGCGCTTTCGGTGGCATGCATCTCTTTGCGCCTGAAGCCTGGAGAGCAGCTCCTCTGCTGCTCACACACTCTGCACAGCTGACACAGCCTACTGTGCGGCTGCCACAGCTGTGACAGCGATGGGCTCGCCCTCACTGGCCCTCAGTCACTTGTGCTGCGGCTTGTGTGAGCGACACTGCTCGGCGACTGCCGGCACACTGTGAGACCATGGGTGTGAGGTAAAACCACGCTACCAGCGCTTGGTCACATCAGCCCTGAGGTCATATCCTTCTCCTCTGTTGATGGTAACACTTGTCTACTCGCTGGAGCCGAGCAGGAGGGCTTGGCGCACAACCCCTGTTCAACTCACCCTCCACACCCCGTAAGTAAATGTGTCCGTAACTCCCGCGACCCTCATCAAACAAAAGAGAAAAGTGCCCGCCTTGTCCTGTGCTTCCAGCTTAAACTCCTTTCGAAAATGTAACCCTAATATTGCAATACTCGCAGGTGGAAATCGTCGCAAACCCCTGTAGACCCCGGGACCCCATACGTTGACAAATCTCGGCTCTGGGTATCAAGGTGTGTCAATCATCGGCAAAACTTGACATCATCGGCACCTTGAGTCGGGCGGGCACCTTGACACCCCCGGCACCTAGATGGGTGCGCAAGCAGGCGAGGCGGGGCGGCTCAAGCGCAGCCGCGCGACACAAAGCTTCCCTCAGACCCGAGATTCGGTCTCCTCTTGGACGCACCGCGTACCTTTACCGCCGCCTCCCTCCTTTCCCTCTCACTCGTACTCGCACCAGAGCGTGAGCGCGAGCCGGTCCGCGCCGTCGCAAGGGAGCACCTCGTGCAGCTGCTTGCCTATAGGGAGGGAGGCACCGAGAGAGGTCATTGCAGCGTTCCAGCGGAGAGCAGCTCGTGTGTGCCGCTTGCCCGACTGGAAGACGACGACCCGTCCGCCGAGCGGCGCCACGTCGACGGGCGCGCCGGACGCGCGGTCGGGCGGGTGGAGGCGGAGGCAGCCGCCATGCCGGTCGGTGTCCCAGTCGACGTTGAGGTAGAGCAGGAAAGTGATCTCCCGCTTGAGGCCCACCTGTGGTCTCGGAGTGATCTCGGAGTGGTCTCGAGTGATCTCGGAGTGATCTCGGAGTGATCTCGGAGTGATCTCGGAGTGATCTCGGAGTGATCTCGGGTGATCTCCCGCTCGAGGCCCGCCTCGCCCGGGTTGCGGTCGAGGTGCGGAGAGTAGCGCGCCCCGCTGCCGCCCGGGTAGAAGCCAAGCTGCACCTATACCGGCCGATCTCGCGGCCGATCTCGCGGCTGATCTCGCGCAATCTCCTCCCGCGCAGAGCCCACGCCGCACCGCGGGCGGAAGCACGAGTGGCCGCCCCCAGCCGCAGCGCGAGACGAGGGCGGGCAGCGCTCCTGTGGAGGGGCGGCGGGCGGGTGGGCTGCGGCAAGGCGAGAGTCGGCGGGGCGAGGCTGCGCGTCTGGGCCATCTCTCGGCCATCTCTCGATCTCTCGGCCATCTCTCGGCCATCTCTCGGCCATCTCTCGGCCATCTCGGCTGCATCTCGCGCCGAGCTTGCGCAGCAGGGCGAGCGTGGAGGGTCCAAGCCCCTGCCGCGCCGCCTTGTCGGCGTCGAGCGGGAGGAAGCCGTGCCACGACCCGCGGTTGCACGGGTTGATGGACTCCTGCGACCGCGCGGCGACCAAGCGGCGGAGCTCATCGTCGGATCATCTCGACTCCTCTCGGATCAGCTCGACTCCTCTCGGCCAATCTCAGCTCATCACGGCTCCTCTTCTTCCTGCGTCCGCTGTGCCACCAAACGGCGTAGCTCTGCGCTCGCCTCGGCGAGAGCGTGCCGCGGCAACAGCGCCTACGGCCGCACCCCGGCTGCCGTGAGCCGACTGCCGCGAGCTGCAGCGAGCCTGGCCGTGGCGTGTGTCTGGAGACGCGCACGCCGTGGCGGAGACACGCGCCAGCTCTTGCTTGAGTACGAGCATCGCTCGCTCTCGGCTCATCTCGCATGCGCTCGTCTCCTCGCGGCTCCTCGCGGCTCCTCGCGGCTCGTCTCGTCTCCTCTCGGCTCCTCTCGTCTCGTCTCGTCTCGTCTCGTCTCCTCGCGCCTCGTCTCGTCTCCTCTCGGCTCCTCTCGGCTCCTCTCCTCTCGTCTCCTCTCGGCTCCTCTCGGCGCCGGCTCCGGGTCAAGCACGAGCACGGCATCGATGCCGCCGCCGCCGCGCAGCCTCGCCGCGTCGCGAGCCGAGATGACCTATACCGTGGAAGCCTCCGTGAACCTTCTCGAACGCGTCCCAGGCCTCGCCGCGCCGCGAGGCTCTCGATGACGTGATCCACAGACGGGTCCGCCAGCGACTCGGGCGGCGGGCGGAGCTTGTTGTACGCGCCCTCGGTCACAGAGCGGACCAGCCGTGCCCGGAGCTCGTACTCGCGCGCCTCGCGGCTGCCGTCGAGAGTGTCGGCGAGCTCCTCGAGCTGCAGCCGCACCGGCCGGCCCGGCGGCCGGGTGAGCAGCCACGCCGGAGCGAGCGCCCCGAGCCGCTGCAGCGCCCCGAGCGAGGCGGCGCCACGCCTGGCATAGTGGATTAGAGAGAGGTCGCGCTGCTCGAGCGCACTCATGCAGGCGCGCTGCATGGTCTGGTTGAAGCCGAAGCTGGCGCGCTGCTGCGCTTCGTGCTGCGGCGCGCCTCGCAGGAGCATCTCGCGCATCTCCGCCTCGGACGCAGCGAGGTTGGACGAGACGAGGCGCCGCAGCGCGCCCTCGTCCAACGCGACGGCAGCCGCGGCCTCGCGCAGGCTCTGCCGCGCAGACGAGCGACGCCAGGCGCATCGGCAGCGGGAGGAGCATGCAGAGCCAGCGCTAGCCGAGCTTTCGGACATGGCACACACGAAAAAGAATTTAAACACCAAAAAATGTTTGCGCCGAAAAGCGGATTTACCTGAAGAAGCAAACACCATCTCGGAGGTACAAGTGTCCGAAACGAGAGTGGACCTGAGCAACGACATGACTTGGCGGTAAATGATCATCTTGAGCACTTGCAGTCCTTGGGGGGGGTCCGAACAAACACGGTGCAGGATCGAAGTGCACGCTGCTGAGGGACCCCACTAGGAGAGCTTGACAAACTCGAGGGGCCAAAGTACGCCGCGAGGAGAGCGGAGTTACGCCGAGAGGCGAGAGAAGCAGCGAGAGCAAGGGATCGGCAGGCGGCGGCGGCGTCGCAGAACGAGGCAGAGGAGAGCGACGCGACAGAGGATGAAGCGACACATTGACTGCGTGCAGTGGAGGTCGGAGGAGCACCATTGAGCCGGCCGCAGACGTTGCTGGCGAGAGCATCGGCAGCGCGAGGGTAGCTGCTGCGGAAGAGCCGCGCAGCGAGCGGAAAAATTAGAATTTTCGGAAAAGAGCAAGGACCGAGCTCGCGCGAGAGAGGGAGAGAGCGAGGAGGGCAGGCCGAGCCCGAGGGCCCAGAGGAGGCCGCACGATATACTACGAACATAATCGATGTCCACTCTCTTTCCTTGCAAACCTTGTAGCTCGATCGGTCACACCGCCATCGCCGTCGACGTCTCCCTGTGAGATGATGGAGAGGGGGGACGACACCGCTCGATCTACCCCCTCTGGGGTCCCTCAGCGGCGTGCACTTCGATCCTGTACCGTGTTTGTTATGACCCCCCCCAATGAGCACACCAGCGAGGGAGGGCGAGACGATCGAGGGGTCCCGTACCATGCGGAATCGACCCTATCCAGTGCTCAAGTGCTCAAGTGCTCTCAGTCTAGCGACCTGCCTCCAGGCCTCCAGCTTCTCACTGGCAGTCCGCTCTCGGCCTCTCGCTGCCACAGGCACACTGACAGGGGTGGCAGGGGCGGCGGCAGGAGTCTCCCACATACTATGCGGGCCTCGCTAGAGGTGCGTCTTGTGTGTGTCCTCGTCCCGTAAGTGGATTTTTTGCGAACTCATTTTTTCTTTGGACTCAACACGCTACCCGGTATGCGAGGAACTCACGCCGATACGAGGAGGGTGTGAGTATCCGCGGCTGCTCCGTGCTCTCGGCACTCGGGCGCCAAGGCCAGACAAGCCGTCGCTAGGTCACCCAAGTGCGCCAAACAAGCCACCCTGGGTGGGCGCTGCCCGCAAGGCCGCCGCCCACTCAGCCTCGCGCGGCGCGTGCAGGCTCTCGGCGGCTTCGCCCGCCGCGCCTGTGGCGCAGGCGCGCCACGAGCAGCCGGGCCCGACCCGCGGCGCGGTGAGGCTGTTGACGAGGCCGGGGAAGGGGAGCGGCCGCCGCCAGAGGAGCACGTGCCGGAGCAGGTCGAAGGCCGCAACCTCGGAGGCGGCGAAGTTCCGCTCGACGGCGGCTCGCTGCCTCAGCGCGACGGCGAGGTAGGCGATGTCGTCCACGACCGCGAGCCCCTTTGAGAAGTAGCGGGCGCCCGCCGCCCAGAGCGTGTCGCTCGTCCCGTTCGGGTGGAGCCGGCCGAGGCCGCCGGAGGCGGAGAGCAGGTAGAGGAGCCGGCCGCGGTAGAAGAGCGGGCTGTGGCAGTTTGCTCCGCCGAGCGGCAGCCGAGCGCCGAGCGCGCCCGAGGCGGCGTCGACGAGCTGCACCGCAGAGCGAGAGGCCAGGTTGTTGTGCATCACCCACAGCCGGCCCAGCCCGAGCGTGAGGCCGTTGGCGTGCGCTGCGCGCGGCGCGCCGCTGCTCTCGTAGCTGCGCACCTGTTTTCACCGTCAGGGTGAGCAGACGCCGTTCACAGGCGCGCGCCGCCGCTCTCTCGCAGCTGCGCACGTGCTCCACCGCCGCCCACCCTCCCTCTGACAGGGGCAGCGCCGACGGAGGCATCGGAGCCGCGGCTGTGCCGGCCGAGACGCGGAAGCGGAGCACGCGACCGCTGTCCGTGTCGACGGAGAAGAGGTCAGAGCCGCTGAGCACAGAGTCGTGCAGGTACACCGTCGGCAGCGCCCACCAGCCGAGCACCGACCGCGCCTCCGGGTCCAGCAGGAGGAGCGCGTCCTGCAGCCCCGGCGGCGCGGCAGACGCGTTGCGTGGGCTCGGCCTCCCTGCGGCCAGCGAGCGACGAGCCGCCCTCCTCGGCCGCGAGAGGCGGCCCTGCGAGCCGACGAGCAGTGCGCGAGTCGAGCCCGCGCCGGCCGCCTGCAAGGCGGCCACGGGCGCCGCACCATAATAGTGACCAAACGAGTTGGAGACCCGTGAGACGCAGCCGTCACCGCTGGCGGCCGCGCCGAGCGTCAGCAGCGCCTGGTGCGTGCTCACAAAGAGCGTGGCGCCGCCAGCGCTGCACCCAGCAGAGGTCCACGGCGCAGTGGGCTCCACCGGCGAGGCGGGCGTCCACTTTGACAGAGGCTTTTGTGCATTCATTCGTGTCCGCGTCCAGTGGCCCGGCGGACCCCCCCCCTCCCCGACGCAAAATTTCTTTTTTATTTGTAATACATCTCCTCTTTCTTGCCATTTCCTTAGGGTGGACTGGTTCGTCCCCGATACCAATAAATTTTCTTTTTTCTCGTTGTCTTCTTTTTGAGCGCCCGCCCCGCGCCGCGTAGCTACTACCCCCTCCAACTTCGGGGCTGCTCTCAATCCTTTGTTCACAATCCTTTGACTTCTAGGATTGAGAGCGAGGTGAACCCTTTTACGTCCACATTTCGAGTGAGTGAAAACCAACTCCTGAGCACGGCGCCGCAGGCGCCTGTTGATAGGTCCAGGTGATAGCCCTGGATGGGCAATGCATTCGCCTACCTGGGCCTCAGATCGCCCGACCGCGTCCCGGTGCCCTGTGGTCGGATTTGTGACGCCGCGGCTCCGCGCCGCGGCCGGGGGCCCTCCGGAGGCCAAGGATGGCCGTGACGGACCGGGACGAGCTCTGGGAGGTTCAGTGTCAGTGAGTATATTGTAGAGACTGACCATGTGCACAATATATTGACTGAGAGCTAAGCCAGCATGGACGTGGACGGGGTGGAGGAGGCGAGCTCGCAGGACACCCTATGTCTGGGCAGCCTGACTCGCAGGGCAGCCTCTCGAGTATGGACCTGGACGAGGAGGGCGAGGCGGAGAGCGGCCCTGCGCCTGACGAGGCGGGCGAGACGAAGGAGGGCGACGGACAAAGTCGCGGCGCAGGGGGTCCGGGAAGCGGCGGGGCTGGAGGGGGCGAACCTCGCCCTCGGGCGTGTTAGAGTCGTCGGCCAGGGAGGCAGGACTCCCGCAGGGCACCTTCGGGTGGATCTCAGTAGAGCCGGCAGGCACCCCGAGCTCGCGACGCCCTTCACGACTGGAAGGGCCAGGGAGCGCACGTGCTTCGATCGCAGGGGGCACCATGGAGGGTGCACCTGCGCCACGGAGGCACTCCGGGCGGCGTATGCAATGTGGGGGGAGGGCCGGGGAGATGCTGCCTCGGCGCGCGCTGCCGCGACGCGGCACGGAGTCGACCGGGCCACGCCGGCGAGGGAGATGCGCTCCAGCGAGGGTCGCGTCCTTGAAACCGCCGACGCGTTCCTGGACGACAAGGCCGATCGACTCTGGAGGACGCGGTCGGCGGCGCTTCGCGAACTGGCACAGAAGGTTCGAGACGGCACGGATCTTGTGCTCCTATGCGCGGGTAGGATTGAGTCCTGTCACGGCGATCTGCTGAGGAAGGGGATCCTGGCCGAAGCGGCGCAGCTCGAGGCCACCAGCAAGAAGAAGCCGCGCTCCGACAAGGGCAAGCCGAGAGGTCCTCGGGGGCCCAGGGCCGACTCGGTGGAGACGGCGGCCCGCATGGGGGTGCTGTCGACCTTCTACCTCCGGCACGCTTATGGACGAGACAGCCAGAGGCTGCACGAGGAGAGCGGGGTGCTCCGCGAATGGGGGGGTGCTGTGCGCGGGGTGCGGTGAGGAGGCGCCCGCGCTCGGGGCGCGGGACGGGGGGGGGGGGGGGGGGGGCCGGTAAAAAGGCCCAATTGGCCAAAAAAAGGGGGGGCGCCCCGGGGAACCGGGGAAAAAAAAGGGGGAGGGCCCTTTTTTAAAAAAAGCCCGTGGGGTTGAAAGGCCGGAAAAAGGGGGCCCTTTTTGGGGACCTGGGGAATCCGAAGGGCCCGCCCAAGGGTGTTGCCCCCCCCAGTGAAACGGGGGGTGGGGGTGGGAGGTGGCCGAGGAGCAAGCGCAAGAAAACGCACAATCAGAGGAAGGCTGCCCGGCGGGAGGGGTGGGCGGACTGAAACGGGCACTACGCGCGTGATGAGGAGGGGACGAGGGGGGGAAGGGGGGGCGGTGGAAGCCGGCGCAGGGCGGGCTGTGTTGTCGGTCTTTGTAGTACGTGTCGAAGTTGCTATTCCTACCTTTTTCGCCTGGAAGAGCCCCAACCCCCCCCCCCCCCCTCCACCCTCCACACTGCCCGGTCCAGCCGACCCGGCGCACATACCCTCTGCTACCTCCTGCAGGTGAGGGAAAGGCACAACTCAGAACGATGGGCTTGCCCATCCCGGAGTGGTTCGATCCCACACAAATCCGAGACGGTGACGAGAAGCGTTCCGGTGATCTCAGGCCCAGTGAGGTAGTGCACTGGTCTAACTCGGATCCTGCTGAACAAGCTCCTCTTGTAGCTCGATCGGTCACACCGCCATCGCCGTCGGGGAGAGGGGGGACGACACTGCTTCGGCAGCGTGCACCTCGATCCTGTACCGTGTTTGTTATGACCCCCCCCCGATGAACACACCAGTGAGGGAGGGCGAGACGATCGAGGGGTCCCGTACCATGCGGAATCGACCCTATCCAGTGCTCAAGTGCTCAAGTGCTAAGCCAGGGGAGGCGATGCCGGGGCCGCACAGCAGCTTGATGGTGCTTCGCCGGCGTAGAAGCGGCCGCGGAGGGCTCCGGGTGCCTGAAAAAGACGGATTTACGTGGGCTGTGGGAGATTTACTGTCGACTCAAACGACACTGTGCCGTGATCCTCTCATATAGGGCTAAATATTTAGCGAGCCGTTTTAAAGTTCCACCGCTACGACTGGAGATATATCGAGATTTGCTCTTCAGAAAGAAAGAAAGAAAACACACAACCCAAGGGAGGGATGGGAGAACGGCACGCCGCCACCACACAGGGATTTTAAGGAGAGGAGTGTGGTGCGCTAGCCGTCGCCCACCCTGGGGAGTCTGCCTCTTCGTATCTCTTTTCGCAGTCTCTCGCCGCTTCTCGCTGCAACCTTCATGCCACCTCGCGGCCGTCCCACTCTCGTCGGTCTCTCCCTTGTCACTTCCTCCTCTGTCGCGTCGTTCTCTTCTGCCTCGTCCTGCGACGCCGCCGCCTGCCGGTCCCTTGTTCTCGCGGCTTCTTTCGCCTTGCGCAACTCCGTCCTCCTCGCGGCGTATCCTGGCCCCTCGAGTCTATCAAGCTCCCCTCGCGCAAGGACCACATTTCTGACTCCCACTCCGATCATTTGCCTACACGTCATGTTGTTGCTCAGGTCCACTCTCTCTTCGAACACTCGTGCCTCTACGGATGATGCCGGCGCTGGGGTCCCCTTGCTCTTCAGGAGCGCTATGGCGCCCGGCTTAAGGTGGCAGTCCGGGTTTTGCGAGACGGGTGTCGTCTCGCAAGATGGCATCACGCTCGCACCTGCCGACCGCCGCCACGGCGGCGAGACGCCTTCTCCGCCACCGCGGCGCCGGCCACAGGCCAGCGCTAGGCAGCTGCCGGCCACACTGGGCCGGATTTGCCGGTAACCGTCGCCGCACACTCCTACATCCACGCCGCTGTGACGTCTGGCGACGAGGCGCCGGCCGCCAAGCTTCATCGCCAAGGTGGTCGCTCGCTGGTCCTCTCGGCTCGGCCACGCGTCGGCCCAGCTCACACGAGCTCCAGACAGCCACCAGTCGCCACGCGCAAAGCGTACGGGTCGCCGGCTCCCTGTTGTGCTCTCACGCTGGCCGGCGTAAAACTGTACTGGCAGTTGTCATGCCGTACCCGTCGCGTTTCGAAAGGGAGCCCTCAGTCGACGCCTCTACACGCACCGCGCCACCGCTCTCCACAACTGCTACCGTGGACATCAAGCTCCTCGACTCGATCTGCGGCTACGACGGCGCTCTAGCTGCTGGCTCTCGCGGGTGTCTGGCGACCCGCTCAGGCTTGCGAAACGGCCGGCCGCGGCGACGTGTTTCGAGCTCGCTGACCTTCTCCGCGCGGCTGGGCCCGCTCCTAGTCGGGGACGACCCGCCCAGTCACTGGGCAGCGCGTGCGCCGGCGTTCTGGACGACGGTGTGCCGATGCATCCGGGAGGCTCCGTGGGGCTGCTCTAGCAGCCTCGGGAGGGTCGAAAATCGAAGCCGAAGCGGCGGACCACGGAAGCTCCACGGACGGTGAGGCGGGCTGTGGTTGGCCCCCCCTGACCGGGTGAGGGAGTGGCGCCCCGGGAGTGCCGCTCCGGCGACGTCTGTGGCCTCCACGGCACTGTGACCGCGGTGCTCGCTCTCGCGGCCGTCTCACGACCCGCTCGAGACGAAAACCGGAGCGGACGGTGCGACGAACCGCGAGTGGGATGGTCTTCTCCGCCCGGCTGGGCCCGCCCCTAGTCGGGGCCGACCCGCCCAGTCACTGGGCAGCGCGTGCGCCGGCGTTCTGGACGACGGTGTGCCGGTGCATCCGGGAGGCTCCGCGGGGCTGCTCTAGCAGCCTCGGGAGGGTCGAAAATCGAAGCCGAAGCGGCGGACCACGGAAGCTCCACGGACGGTGAGGCGGGCTGTGGTTGGCCCCCCCTGACCGGGTGAGGGAGTGGCGCCCCGGGAGTGCCGCTCCGGCGACGTCTGTGGCCTCCACGGTACCGTGACCGCGCCGGCCTCGCTCGGGAGGCTCTTTCGGAGCCGTCGGCCTCCGAAACCGTCGCGTTGCTGCGCCTGGACGGCTTCGATGCTCGCCAAACCCGTCGGCACCGTTCATATACACATGAATTGTGAACGAACGCGCATTTTTCTGATATCTTACTGAAATGTTCCCGAATGTTAGTTTCGATCTAGTCCTCACGGACACAAAACAGAGGCCTCCTAGCACGGAGAAGCGACTAAGAGTCGCCGACGTGCGAGTAAGATACCAGAAAAATACGCCCGGAATCACAATTGATCCCGTCGACAAGGCGCCCCAATCGCGGAGGTCTGGCGCGGGCGTGGAGGCGAGCATCGACGCCTCGACGGTTGCTCTTCAGAGGCCGAAAACAGGCGCCTGAAAAAGGAGAGAACGCGAGACTGATCACGCGCGCGGAAAAGCCCGAGGGGCGAATCTAAAGTGCCGAGGCGCTTGCTAATCACCCCAGCTAGGGCCACGGAGGCGCTCGCGGCAGGTCTCCGCGCGCGCGCTGGCCGGTGGCAGCTGATCTCGGGCGGCGGGCGGCGGGAATGGGCTCGGGCGGCACCTTTTGCCCTCAAAAGTCGTTCGAGAGTACCGGGTCGCGGCGGGAACGCGCCCATCCGCTCGATGGGTGTCAGGAGTCGATCGCCTGCGCCACGAGCGAGCACGGGAGTCGTCGCGATGGGAGTCGTAGCGGCGTGGCGCTGGGCTTCGAGAGAGCGACGTGGGCGCGGCGGCGCGGGCGGCCGGTGGGGCGCGTGAGGTCCGCACCTTCGCGACGGGCAGGCTCGATACGGCCGCTGGCCGGGGCGGCCGCTCGACCGGCCGCCGCGGTCGTTCCGGCGGCGGCGTCGGCGTCGGCGTCGCGAGCGAACTGGCTCGCATTCGACGAGCGACCCTCTTCACAGAACCCGGACTGCCACCTAAATTCTTCCTTAGGACGGACATGTCTTGGTGGCCATGCAAGTCCTGCACACACGCGAACGTGGCACCACCCACACCCCACTCGCAGTGCGAGCGGTGTGGCTGCACCCTAGGCAGTATGGGCTTCGTGGATCTCGTCCAGAGCGGAGTCGTCAGCAGGGAGTACGCGCAGGAGTTGATGGCGAGAGGACCGCCGCGCGGCGCAGGCCCCACATCGAGTGCGGATCTGGAGCTCTTGAGGCTCAAGGACACGTTCAACCTCAACACGGCGGCAGGGCGTGCCGCTGCCAAGCGGCAGCTGTTTGGCAACGGGACGCGCGGCTCGTGCACCGCGCCCGCGCCCGACGCGCCGAATCTCGGATCGCCCGTCTTCAGGCTTCCGTCGGCACCGCCGGCTCCACACTCGGACCAGTGGATCGGCCCACCCTCCAACGTCAGCGCAACGCTCGAAGGTGACGGTGCCGTCTGCATACGCTGGGATGCAGCGACTTCCCGAGACTGCGCCGTGCTTCATTACGCCGTGGAGATGCGGCGAGGCAGCGACGTGGCGGGGAAGTGGGTGCCCTGCCGTCAGGTAGCGGCGAGCGAGTGCGAGCTCTGGCTCGTGGAGAGCCTCGCCGCCGGAGACACGTACACTTTCCGCGTGCGCGCATCGGCGCAGGAGCCGCGCCTTCCCCCGAGCAGCTGGATCCACACGTCCGAGGTGGAGGTGCCGTTGGGGGCGGAGCAGCTAGGGAGCTTCCAGGCCCAGCTCGCGGCCGGCCTGGTCTTGCAGAGGCTGCAGGGAGACGCCGACCGGATGGAGCGGCGCGAAGAGGAGGTCGAGCAGCGCACCTTCCATATTAGGCAGCGAGAGACGGATCTGAGGGCGAGCGCGGCCCTCTTGGCCGCCGAGAGGAGCAAACTGGAGGAGGAGAGGAGGAGGAGGGATCTCTGGCACACGATTGCGCAGGGGGTGGAGACCGAGGAGGAGGCGCGCCGCCTCTTCTATCGTCGGCAGGACTCGGTTGGCGCCAGCACGAGCCTCACCGTTGAGTCCGCCGTCATGGTCGTCAACGCCGACCGGCTGCGCTCGTACCTCGCTGCGTCGCCCGCCGCGGACACGTCTCCTGTCCGAGCGCATCGCAAGGGGGACGGCCTCCTCTTCCACGGATGCCCGGAGGCGGCCGTGGCCAACATCCAGTCCGACGGCCTGCGGATGCGGTTCGCGAGCAGCGGGATGCTGGGACGGGGGCTGTACGGCGCGCCCGACCCTCGCAAGTCGTACTCGTATTGCCGCGGCTCGAGGCACGGCGCGTTCGTGTTCCTCTGCCGCTTCAACCTCACGACCGCAGAGCATGCGGGCCCGAGCACTCCACACCGGAACACGGTCTTCGACGAGTACTGTGTGTACGACGAGCGGCACGTGGTGGTGCTCTGGATGCTGAAGGTGAGTGAGTGACGGCAGTGGCGGAAGCGGCGGAGGAGATGGTGTGGACTCATGCTGTCGTAGGTGTGAATGGGCAATTGCCCTGAGCTAACTATCACTACCGCCACTATCACACGGTCCACTTCCAGCACGAGCGATCCTCGTCCCAGACGTACCGGGGCCGCCCACCCAGGCTTTCGATGTACACCGCGCAGCCGCTTTCGATGCCCACCGCAGCCGTTTCATCTCGCCAACCAGCTCTAACCCGGGGTGCGCTGCACTAACCCGGCCCTAACCCACCCCTAACCCGGCGCAGACCCATGCTGTATGCCCCCCACGCCCCCAGCCGCACGGGTTAGTGCCGGGTTAGTGCCGGGTTATGGTAACCCATTCTGACCCGTGCTGACCCGTGCCGGGTTAGTGAGCACTAACCCGCGCTAACCCGCGCTTACCGAAAGACTCACCTCAGGGCCGTCCACAGTCGGGGTGGGACCAGTCAGTCAGTCTCTCCTCGCGACGGTGGGAGAGTGAAGGTCGGGTTTGGGCTCGCCTGCGGCGGTGGGGGTGGCTCCGGGTTCGGGGAGGGGCTCTCATGCTCATCGCTCCTATCCCTCCCTGCCTCAATTCCCGGCTCCTCCTCCCCCCCCTCCCCCCATCGAGCATCGTTCGTTGCACGTTGGGCAGGCAGTCCTATTGATCGAACGAAGGAAAGTATTCGCCTGCTCTTGTGGCGACACCTGCATTTGCTCTGTGGAGGGCGGAGTCAGATTGGGCCCCTTTCATTGACACGAACACGGATAGTACGGTCTGGAAAACCGGCGTGCACGATTTGCAACGCGGCCGTAATACGTTTGCAGTGCAGATTCTGATGGCCATGCAGATGCTCGTCCTACTCCCAGCTTTGGTCTCAGGGAACGGAATATGCCGGGGGAGGAGAGCCTTCAGCGAAAAGCATGAGTGCGCGCCGAGGTGGTTTCACTGCCCCAAATGCGGCACCTCGTTTGGCACGCTCCTTCTGCGTCTTGGTCACCCCGAGCGCTTCGGGTCCTACATCTGCGACGACAAGCGCACCGGGCCGTCCGGCTGTACGAACCCGGCGAACCTGCTCTTTGACGTCGAAGATGCCTGCTTTGGCGACCGGCTCGGCGACATGTCGGATAGCTGCCTCGGCGCTCCACCGGGCATGTGGCCTCCAGAGCGTGCCTTCGGCCTTCACCTGCCCATCCCAAAAGGGCTGGTCTCGGCAGGGCAGAGTCGTTTTTACGGCATCTTCCGCGAGCCCAAGTCGCGAGCCCTCTCGTCATATACTTACTTCCGACGGCTGTTTAACGAGACCATGCCCGACGTGGGTGGAGAGTCCCCGACCCCCGCAGGAGCAGCGTGGTACGCGCAGCGCATCCGCGGTGTCGTGGCGCGGCAGCTCGCAGGCGAAACTAAGGGCATCATCTGCACGGCGCCGGATAACCGAGGCCCATGCCCGAAGGCGTTGCGTGCGCCGAATCCGCAGCGCGTTAACGAAGCTCGATTTCGGCTGAACGGGTTCCGTTTCGTCGGCTTGCAGAGCGAGTGGCTCCTCAGCATTTGCCTACTGCGCACCATGACAGACACGAAATGTGAGGTCTCGGACACGGCCAATGCCCGCCCAGGTGCGCTCCGGCCGCGGCGTGTGACCACCTTTGGACACACGCCCCAGCCCACGTTGCCCTAAAGACACACATCCCCGCACACTTTTCACACCCCTATCTAGGCGCACGTGGCATCATCAGCGCGAGCGAGAGTCGCCGCCTCCACCGGCTCCGCAGCGCAATCTACGCTGTGAACGACACCGACGACGAGGCGGTATACGCGATGGCGCGCCAGCGCTTCTGGGCCGACGTGGCGCTCTACAATCTGAGCCGTTCAGGCTGTGAGCGGAAGTGCCGTCCCCCGCCGACGGCAGGCCTCGTCGTTCGCGGCTTTGGTGATATGGGCATAGACCGCGAGGGGTACCCGACGCACTATTCGCACCTGCTTCGCAACTGGCTGCCGCGCCTGTGGGAGTGCCAGGGGGACTTCCCGCAGGAGCGCGCACTCTTCGTCCCCAAGAAGCTTGTGCCTCTCTACGCTGACATAGTGGCGCGATATGGAATGACGATCACCCAGGAGAAAGGCGTCGAGTGCGCCTTCCACATACCAGCCCGCCCACCGAGCTACTTCTTCGACATGTTTGCCGACCCCGCACGCAACTTGCGCGCCGAGCAGGGCTGCAGCTCCAGCGACGTGGTGCTAGTTCTGCGGACAAGCAAGCGAGCCGAGCGCCGGCGCTCGATAGCCAACCCGGGTACGGTGGCCGAGGTTGTGGGCACGTTTGCTCGTCAAAAAAACCTGAGCTTCGAGGTCGTCAGTTTTGAAGACTACGCGTTTGCCGAGCAGCTGCGCAAGGTCTGCACTACGCGCTTGCTGATTGGACAGCACGGCGCGGGCATCGGCAACGCCTTATGGAGCTATCGCCGGCCAATGGTGGTGCTTGAGCTGCCGCCTACGCTACCCGGGTGGTGGAGCGGTCTTCTCGCGCCGCGCTACGGTTTCACCTACTACCACGACGTCAGTGAAGGCCATTGCTGGCACGACTCCGCCAACAAGAGCCATAGTGTGACACGAGGGACGCGCGTAGGCAGCAATACGACGATGACCGTCAGCGTCCCGCACCTGCGGACGCTGCTGCACAAGGGCTGGCTCATGATGCAGAAGAACAACCGCACCGCACGGAAGCAAGGCAAGCTCTGGGAAGGCGTACAACCCGGCAACACGATCAGGCCGGGGACGACGCGGTCTTGGCACAAGAACAAAGGCGGAGGACGCAGTGGGAATGCGAACAGGCCGTTCTGAGGATACTGCCCCCCCCCCCTTCCGCCTCGCCTGGCTCGGCTTCTGACAATTTCGGCGAACAATCTCGGCGAACGGAGATGGGGAAAAGCGCCTACGGGATCACTACTACTGCGGACTACTCTGCATTGCTGCGACGCCTTCGAATGTGCTTATACTCTATAAATAAATAAACAAAGTGCAGTAGAAAATCCAAAATCCAAATCGCAAACATAGAAACCCAAACACACACAGCCACGTGGCATAGGAGAGCAGGAGGTGAAAGGAGGCCAGCACAAGTTGCAAGGACGCACGAGCGAGAAGCACAGCAGAGCAGACAGATGGCAGCTTCGCGAGCTACGGGGGCGGCCACGGCACGGCCCGGTGGCCGCCCCGCAATGAGGCAATAAATAAAACGGACACCTCTACTGCTGTGAGATGGGTAAAAAGGAAGGTCCCCGCCCTTGCGATGTTTGTGCAGGGTTCTTTGTGGGTGTGGTCGGCGACTAGCCGGGGTCGTCCTCCCGATGGGGGACTAGCACTAGCCGTCTTCCACATGCGACATGGCGATGGAGGGCCAGCCTAGAGGCAGAGGCGTGGCAGGACGGGTGGGACGAGGAGGGAGGAGGAGCATGTGCCGATGGGGCTGAAGGTTGCTGGCATCCTGGATGTTGCAGGACAATAGCTAACACTAGGCACGTCCTATGCGCCGAGTGCGAGGCGGTGAAGGGGGAGAGGAGGGAGCACCACCGGGCGATGAGGAAAGGCGCGGCGGACGTGCTCAAGGCGCTACGATGGACGCCGCCGAAGTCAAGGAGGCGGACACTCGCCCACACCGCAGAGTGCGAAGCCCAGGCGCTCGCTGTACGCGCCATTGCTGGGGCGACGAAGAGATGCGCGGGGAGAAGGGAGAGCGACGAGGAATGGGAGGCGATGGAGCAACTGCTAGCTGGACGACTACCCGAGCCGAGTGTGATGGACCAGGACCCGCCAGAAGACATCATGAGGGAGTATGACACACGGGTGGTGACTTCACTCAGGGCACTGCAGCAGACGGCGGCATCAATAATCAAAGTACGGGAAGGGAAGAGGAAGGGACTCGAGGCGGAGAGGAAGGAACGAGTAGCCGCGGAAACAGAACGCCTGAGAGAGGGACAGAAGGAAAGGAAGGAGAGGATACGAGAAATGGAGTGGGCGGCGAATGCGTGTATTTGCTGGCGACGGAGGCGACATCGACAACGTGATGCCGAGGAGAAGGAAAGGGAAGAGGCAGAGAGACGCCTCGAAGCGGGGAGAGGCAGAACGACGAGAGCGATGGGGATGACACTCAAAACGACCCACTGCGAGCTCGAAGGCGAAGGCCAGCGCAGGAAACGCGGTGATAGGAACGACGATGCGGCGAGCGCCGGAGGGAAGCGACGACAGCGAGGGGACGAGGACGGCGAGCAGAGAGGAGAACAGACGGCGAGCGGCGCACGCGAGGGCGACCACGCAGGAAAAAACAAACGGGACGAGGGGAAGGAAACGCGGCCCGCCAGGAAGCGAAGGCAGACGGCAAGATACGTCGCCGGACCAGCGACAGGAAGCGCAGGAAAACAAAAAGAACAAGACCAGGAGCATGGAGACGAGGGAAGGCACGAGGCGCTCCGCCGACAAGCAGCAGAGGCGGCGGCGAAAGTAACGACGGCCATGCTAACGACGGGCGGCACGGTGGAAGGGGCGAAGGTAGGCCCCTCTAGCATAGCGGAAGGGGAACTCGGCCTACTGGCGACGAGGAGGCTAGAGAAATTTGAGGTGTGTAGCATCTACACTGGGGAGATCTTCCGGACAGGAACGGCGCAGCCACCAGAGACAGTACCAGACGAACTATCACGACACACGGCAGCAGGGGGGACGCAGCTGGATGGAAGTGACGACGAGAGCGGGGACGACTTTGACAGCGTCGCGGCGCGGTGTAACTTCGACTGGCCTGCAGCATCGAATGAGCCGAAACAAGGCACGAGGGCGACGCACTTCGTACGCTACGAGGAGATACAATTAGGCAAGGCAGCTGCGCAGGTGATGGTCCTGTTTGCAGAGAGGGGAGTCAAGGAAGGCCAAGAAATCACATGGTCATATGGGGACTCATACAGGAGCCACCGCAAGGAGATGGGATACAGGGCGGGGACCAGGGCGGATCCGAACGCAATAACACCCCAGCAAGCGCGGACGGCATTCGCGAGATACTGCAAAAAGATAGACGTGACGAAGGAGGAGCTAGCGTGGAACTTTGGATGCATATCGGCAAGCCAAAATAACGAGCAGGAGGCTGTCCTGGTGCGTGAGCTAATCCTGAGCAACAATAAGCGACTGTACCACGGAGCACAGAGCGCAGCAGACAGGACGGCGGCGACGGCGGACATGGCAGAGACGAGTGTGAAACAAAGGGCGGCGGGCATGGAGGGCGGTAGCGACGGGGATGGAGACGGTGACGGTGGCGAGGGAGAGGAAGGGGGTCCATTAACACCAGACAGCGAGAGGGGCAGGGAGGAAAGGGGGAGAGAGGAAGCCAACGCGACGTGCGCAGAGGATGAGGATATAAACTGGGACGACGCAGCGGAGGGGATAGGCGAGGGAATCGAGGGACCGGAGGGCTTTCGCGACAGCGACGATGACGACGAAGAAAGGGGAGGGCCCTGGCGAGCGGGCGCATGGCGCCCGACGCTCTGCCATGACCTCCGGGAGGTTGGACTCGAGAATCGCACCTCGTGACGTTCTCTCTCTGTATACTGTATGTTCACCGTACGTCTCTTAGTTATCCTCCTGACTCGTGTCTGTGAGTGCGAAGACCCGGGCCGCAAAAACGGCTTTATTTTTCGCAACAGACGCCATCAGGATGCTGAGCAGCAGGTCGTCCACCAAGGAGTGAGGTGCCAGAGGAGGTTATGCAGGTGGCTGAGCAGAAGGTGACGACGAGGCGGTGCTGGCGTGGCTCGACGGCGGCGGGCGGGTCGATGCGACGTTCGAGTGCGTCTTTTCGGACGGCCCTGTGAGCGGCATGACGTTGCTGATGGTCGCAATGGCCGATGGCCGCGAGGGGCTGGCCGAGGCGCTGCTCCAGCGCGGTGCGGATGTCTCGTTGCAGAACAGCGACGGCGCCACTGCGCTGAGGCTCGCCGCCGTGAATGGCCACGAGAAGCTGGTCGACTTGGCGTTGCGGCACGGCGCGGAGATCAACGAGCAAACTGCTCTCGGCGGCACCGCGCTGATGGCCGCCGCCGGCAGCGGCCACGAGAAAGTGGTCGCCGCGTTGATTCGGCACGGCGCGGACATCGACCTGCAAGACAAGAATGGTGGCACTGCGCTGATGCACGCCGTCTGCTTCAACCGGCCCGCCACCCTCCTCCGCTTGCTGCAGGCGGGCGCAGACGTGACATTGCGCGATGTGGACGGCAAGACGGCGCTGCAGTGGGCCAAGGAGCGGGGCCACGCCGAGTGCGTCGAGGCCTTCAGGACGTATCTCGGGGCGGTGGCGGCGGTCCGGAAAAAGGCACCGTCAGCCGAAGACGCGGGTGCGAGTGCCGCGGTCTCTGCTTCGAGCGGCGAGGGCGGCGAGGACGCCGAGCCGAGCGGCGGGGCAGTGCCAGAGGAGGTTGCAGACGCGGCTGAGGACGGCGACGAGGAGGCGGTGCTGGTGTGGCTCGACGGCGGCGGGCGGGTGAACGCGACATTCGAGTACGTCCTTTCGAGCGGCTCTTTTAGCGGCATCCGTATGGGCGGCATGACGCTGCTGATGATCACAATGACGCGTGGCCGAGAGGGGCTGGCCGAGGCGCTGCTGCAGCGCGGCGCAGATGTCGCGCTGCAGTCTAGCACCGGCGCCAACGCACTGATGCTTGCCGCCACGAATGGCCACGAGAGGCTGGTCGAGTTGGCGTCGCGGCACGGCGCGGAGATCAACGAGCAAACTACTCTCGGCAGCACCGCGCTGATGGGCGCCGCCGGCAATGGCCACGAGGAAGTGGTCGACATGCTCATCAGGCACGGCGCAGCGATCGACGTTCAGTCCAACGGCGGCTTCACCGCACTGTGTCGGGCCGCTTTCTACGGCCACCCCGCCGCCCTCCTCTGCTTGCTGCGGGCGGGCGCAGACGTGACGCTGCGCACTACGGATGGCAAGACCGCGCTGCAGCTTGCCAAGGAGCAGCGCCGCGCCAAGTGCGTGCGCGCCCTCGCGGAGCATGCGGCGGCCGAGAAGGCGGCGGCGGAGGCAGCGAAGAAGGCTGAGAAGGCGGCGGAGAAGGCGGCGGCGGAGGCGGCGTGGGCCGCGGGAGCGGCGGAGAGGGCGGCGCAGAGGGCGGCGGAGGAGAAGGAGGCGGCGCGGCACGCCGAGGAGCTGCTGGCGGAGATCGAGGCCGAGGAGGAGGCAGAGAAGCGCGCCAAGGGCAAGAAGGGCAAGAAGAAGAAGAAGAAGGGCGGCGGGGCGGGCGCAGCTGCGGGGCCGTCGCAGGAGCCCGAGGCCGAGGCGCCGTCGGAGGCAGACGCAGCCGAGGCGGCGAAGAAGGCCGAGGAGGCGAGGCTCCTTCTGCTTCTCGAGACACTCACCGAGGAGAGGATGCGGTTCAGCATCACGGCGGAGAGCCAGGCAGCGGCGTCGGCAGAGGTGGCCGAGGCGGCGCGCTTGGACGCTGCGGCGGACGAGGCGGAGGAGGAGGCGGAGGCGGACGAGGAGGCCGAGGCGGCGGCAGTGGCGGCGCTGGCGGATGCCGAGGTTGCGCGGGCGGAGGCCAGAGCAGCGCTGGAGAAGGCCAAGGCGGCGCAGGCGGAGGCCAGGGCGGCGCAGGCGGCGGCCAGGGCGGCGCAGGCGGCGGCTTATGCGGCGCTGGAGGAGGCCAAGGCGGTGCTCATCGCGGCCGATCTGGCTTTTGAAGGGGGCGAGACGGCGCTCGAAGGGAGCGACGCGGCGCTCGAGGAGGCGGCGGCCGCTGCAGACGCGGCGCGCACTGCTGCGGCCGCTTCGAGGGCGAGGGCGGCTGCTGCCAGGACGGCGGCGGAGGCAGCCCCGCAGCACTCATAGAGAGTGTGAACTGAGTGTCTCTGAGAGGATCCTGGAGAGAGGACGTATCGTCACAGGGGGGGGGGGGGGGCGCTCGGGGGCGGAGATGCGCACGACCCGGGGCCGGGAAGCATGTGAAAAACGTCGACGGTTGAATCTTGAAATATGAAAGAAATGATTTCCGCGCGGTGTTTTATTTGTGTGTTTTATTTGTGTGTTTTATTTGTGTACTTGTTACGTGAAACACCGCTGGGACCCGGACGCCAGCACACACGGCTAGATTTCATTCATGGCGGGCCGCGTAAGCCCTAGGGTCAGAGTCAGAATCGGTTGGGTGGCCGCGCAGGGCGCGGGCTTCGCTTTCGGGGGCGGTCAGGGAGGGGTCGGGGTGCTGCAGGGGAGCGCGAGGAGGCTTCCGCCTCGGGTCCTAAAATCACCGGGTCAAGAATTCTTTTTGACCGCGCAAGATATAAAGGGTGTCCTAAGCGCTAAGGGCTCTGCTCGCAAGGCGCCCGCGTCGCAGACGCGGTACCATTGACAAATCTGCAAGATACCCCCACACGAGCAAATAGCAAAATCCGAATACCGTGCACGAACTGCGTGATGTGCGCCGGGCAAGCCTTCAGCTGGTGCCAAGACATTCGTAAAATTGAAGCCAAGAACGTCCGCCAAATCCGTGCTAGGGAAAGCGTGGCGGGGCGGGGCGGGGCGGGCGGATCCACTTTGTATTCGCCACACGCATCCCTAGGGACACGTAGGTATCGTCCAAGATTTGGGCGGACGGGTTGCGCACCTGCTCCTGCATCTCGAGCAGCGTCCAGTGGTAGCCGATGGCGAAGAGGAACGGTCCGAGCGGGTCGCCCTGCGCGCATCCCTCGGCCGACATGAAGACATTGAAACGAAGCGACTCTCCCATGACGAAAACGAAACACGCACCAGGCGACTGCCTGAGAACGCTGGATCGAATCGAGGAGGCACCTAAAGCAAAATCGAGCCCGCTTCAGGTGAGAAAAAAATAATATAGTAAGGGTCGGAGCCGGTTTCGAACTGGCGACCTTCACCGCTCGCGGAGAGGGGAGCCAGCCAGAGATCGGTTCATGTGAGAGGGGGGCCGTACGTGGCGGCCTATATAGCATAAAATAAAATAAATAAATAAATAAAAAACCGGGGGAATTAGACACCACAGATACGCAGGGGGTCCGGTTTCGACCGTCAGGGGCTACTGCGACCCCAAGGTGCCCCCGGACGCGCGGCGGGCGGCTGAGGCGGCGGGAGCCCAGGCCAAATATGAGGCCTACAAGGAGGGTGACACAGCTGGCTCTTGCCTTTCCAGGGGGGTTGCTCCGCCCGGTGCCGGTCCGGCGTAGATTTCGCCGAATTTTGGGCGCGTCGTGCCCTCACCACCAGAGCTTGTGGGGGGGGCGAGAGAGAGTGTGTGTCCCTCGAGACCTTCTAAAGGCATATTACTACTTGCCTGCCACCCCTGGCCCCGTCCCCGCGCCCAGAAGGGCGAGATTCCGGTCCCACTCCACCACCGCACGAAACGTATTTCGGTCCGGGGTCCGGTTTCGACCGTCAGGGGCTACTGCGACCCCGAGTTGCCCCCGGGTCGCCCCCTAAGGCCTCCGTTAGTTGAGGAGCACTATTTGGGTGGGTCAGAGACCCTCATTTAGCCACCTCACAGGGTACCCTGAGGCTGTGGCCTCTGCACAAGATTTCGCACCATATGGTCACACGGAGCACTAACAAAGCGGCCAGGAACGAAAAGAAAAAGCAAAGAGAACCCCTGCGCCCGCTCTGTCCGCAGCCACACGCTGCTCCGGTGCCCTGACGCCACACCGATGGCCTCCCACCGCATCGGCGCCCGCCTGTCTGGCCTCTCGCCAGAACAATTTGTCGCCTTCATCGACGAGCAGGCACCCCTCTGGAGCGCCGCCGCGATGCGCGTGGCGGAGGAGCACGCCGCACGGCTCGTGGAGCAGCCCGAGTGGGTGCTCTCCGAGGTCCTCCTCTCGCCGGACCTCGTCCCGCACATCCTCGCCCAGCTGCCGACCAAGGACCACGCCGCCAAGGGGACGTGCCGCGCGTGGCGCCGCGGCTGGAAGGAGACGCTGAAGAAGCGCGAGAGGCAGCGCGTGCTCGTGATCGGTGGCCACGACATCGACGACGAGTTTGTCAGCTCGATGGAGTGGTACGACCCGGCATCAAATACGTGGGCCGGGGAACCCATGGCGCCGACGCCGACGGCGCGCAAGGCTGCCGCCATGGCGGTGCTCGATGGCAAGTTCTACACGGTGGGCGGAGAGGGGGACGACGACGACTCTTCCAACTCGGTGGAGCGGTACGACCTGACTACGAAATCGTGGGAGGCGGTGGCGCCGATGGCCACGGCGCGGGAGTCCTCCAGCGCGGCGGTGCTTGGCGGAAAGTTGTACGCTATGGGCGGTGGCGACAACGCCCACCTCAGCTCGGTGGAGCGGTACGACCCGGCGCTGGATGCATGGGAGGCGGTGGCGCCGATGGCGACGGCGCGGACGCAGTTCGGCGCCGCGGTGCTCGACGGGAAGATCTACGTCGTAGGTGGCCTGAGTGGCGCGACCTCTCTCAACTCGGTCGAGCGGTACGACCCGGCGACGAACGCGTGGCAGGCGGTGGCGCCGATGGGGGAGGGGCGCGATGCGCTTGGCGTTGCCGTGCTCGACGGCAAGCTGTACGCTGTTGGCGGCTGGAACAATAACCTCGGCGATGGCCACCGCCAGCTCAGCTCGGTGGAGCGGTACGACCCGGCGCTGCATGCGTGGGAGGCGGTGGCGCCGATGGCGACGGCGCGGGAGCACTTCGGCGCCGCGGTGCTCGACGGGAAGATCTACGCCGTGGCCGGTTGCAATTTTGACGGCGTCGACCCTCTCAGCTCGGTGGAGCGGTACGACCCTGCTGTGAACGAGTGGGAGGAGGTGGCGCCGGTGTCGACGGCGCGAGACCGTCTTGGCGCTGCCGTGCTCTGAGTTCGCGCACATGGTCGTTTGACGTTCTGTGGTCGTTGCGAACGGGCCGTTTAATCCCTTTCCCCCACGCCGGTCGATCGCTACGATCCAAGAACGAACGCGTGCGAGGCCGTTGCGCCGACGCAGCCGTGTGCAGTGGGGCCGGGCAGTTTAGTGGCTTCTATTAGTGCATCACCCCCATCACGCCGCTCGCCGGCGACGACCACCGCAGTGTATATTTCTTATTTCATCCGGACGGGCTTTCGCGGCTAAATTTACTCAAGCCACACAGAACACCCGCTTACTAGCCTACTGGTTTCAGCGTTTCCGGGCTCGCAAAACCCGGCGGGTGCAGCGGCGCAAGACCTCTCGCGTCTCGGAGGTCGCAGGCCGACCTCGGGGAGGTCGGGGAAAACCCTCGTTCGGCTATCTACTCGCTCCCCTCACTATTCACAGACACTACGGCTGTCACGTGAGACTCACAGTGGCTACTGAGACTGTTCACACGTGACGTTCACACCTGGGGGACCAGGGTGTATCCGCAACTTGCGCAGGCCCCGGGGGTGCGCGTTCGCAGGGAAAGGGCCTTAAAGTTAACACGGGTCTCCGAGGGTTAGCCCCGCGTACCGGCGAGCTGCAATTCTTTCTCTGCCATAGGCCTCGATATCCTTCTCCGGCGAGGGAGGTTGGACATCGCCGCACGGCCAGGCCGAAGATGCTCAGCCTCGCCTCCTCCTACACCGCCTTCGGATTCGCGCCGGGCGCGGCTGCGGCCGTTTTGCCGGCGCGACGCGTTATGATCGCGGCCGCGTCGCACCCGGCCATGTCGGCCACGGGCACGGAGACGCTCGACTTCACCGGCGGTGCACTCCGCAACAACAAGGACCTGACTGACACGGACCTGACGCGGATGGGCCGGCGGGCGCGGCCGAACATCGACTGGTCCAACCTGCGCGCGCGGCTCGAGGTCGAGTTTGGCTTCAAGGAGGAGGAGCTCAAGCAGTACGACGACGTGTCAAAGGCGGACCTCCTCAAGGGGTATCCGCTGCCAGCCCACTGCACAGCAGCACCGCCGCCACACCGCGGCCGCACACGCCGCCGCCGCGGCAGCCACTAGATTCGCCGGCATCGGCCGCGCCGCGCCGCCAACGCCGCAGCCCCATGGCGGCCTCCCACCACCGCCGCCGCGCCCGAAACGCCTGTCGCTGTCGCCGCCGCCGCAGCGCCGCCGCAGTTTCCCCAGCCTCGTCACCTCGTCCGTCAGGTACGAGATGATGCAGCTGTGCCGTCAGTTCGAGAACGCCTGCAACCAGGCGCCGCCGCACCGCCCGCCGGACATGTCCCGAAGCGTCCCTGACACTGCTGCGCCGCCTGCCCCCCGCTGCGCAGGCGTACATGCAGGGCCACATCCGCGGCTTCATGCACCTGGACAACGGCCAGGAGGCGATCCCGGCGCTGATTGCCGACGCGATCAAGCCCGGCGACAAGGCCGTCTCGTACTACCGCGAGCACACGCACGCCCTCGCCAAGGGCGTCTCGCCCGACGCGATCATGGCGGAGCTGTGGGCAAAGGACGGCGGCACATGCCGCGGGACGGGCGGGTCGATGCACATCTACGACAAGGAGACAAACTTCCAGGGCGGCTGGGCTCTCGTCTGCGAGCAGCTGCCGTACGCCGCCGGCGCCGCGCGCTCCATCCTCCTCGACCGGCAGCTGGACCCCGACGGGACGAAAGACGACGACCGCATCGCCGTCGTGTTCGTCGGCGAGGGCGGCGCGCAGAACGGGCGGATGGCGGAGTGCCTCAACGCGGCCGCGAAGGAGAACCTGCCCCTCCTCTTCATCGTCATCGACAACGGGCGCGCCATCAACACCTTCACGCCCGACGTCGCCGCCAACAACGACGTCTTCGAGCAGGGGCAGCACTACGGCGTGCCCGGCATCCGCGTCGACGGCGGCTCGATGGAGCAGACCCTCAAGACGGGGCGCGCCGTGGTCGACTACGTGCGCACGAAGGGGCCCGCCATCATGCAGGCGCGCACGCACCGCTCCCAGCACCCCCTCCCCCTCTCCTTCTCCGAGCCTCCTCTGAGCCGTCTCGACGCCGTCTCTGCAGGTGCACACGTACCGCTTCCAGGGCCACTCGCCCGCCGACCCGGAGCACGAGCGCGGCCGCAAGGACGAGAAGAAGTGGGCGCGCGCGGAGGCGGACCCGATCAAGCTCTTCGAGGCGGACGAGGCGGCGAGCGGGCTCGACCTCGACGGCGCCCTCAAGAGCGTCAAGGCCGTCGTCAAGCAGTCGCTCGACTTTGCGCGCGAGTCGCCGCCGCCGCCCGCCGAGCTCGCGAAGGAGCTCGAGTTCCCGGACGCGCCGTCGACGGACTACAACGCGCGGCCGCCGCCCGCCGGCGCCGACGCGATCACGCGAGCGACGACCGACCCGGAGGCGCTCGCCACTTGCGAGGCGCACGTCGCCGAGCTGCAGTCGCTGGCCAAGCGCGGCGAGATCTCGATCGCCGACGCCGTTAACCTCGCGGTGCTGGAGGAGATGCTGCGCGACCCGACGACGGTCTGCCACGCGGAGGACCTGCAGGCGGGCTCGTCGTACAACATCCCCAAGCTGACCCAGCAGACCTTCGGCAAGTTGCGCGGCGCGGACGAGATCATCGACGAGGGCCACTTCCTCGGCAAGGCGATCGGGGAGGGCATGAACGGCTACCGGCCGATCGTCGAGATGATGAACACCAACTTCGCCATCTACGCCATGGCCGAGATCTCGTCCGCGGGCAACACGTTCGCCACCACGGGAGGCCAGTTCCAGATGCCGCTCACCATCGTCGGCGCGGGCGGCACGGCGCCCAACCAGGCGCTGGGCGCGGAGCACTCCCCCCACATCTCCATCTCCCCACATCTCCCCACATCTCCCCGTCTCTCGCCAACCAGGCGCTGGGCGCGGAGCACTCGCAGCCCTTCCACGCGTACATCATGGGCATCCCGGGGCTCAAGATTGGCGCCGCCGCCTCGCCCGACGCCGCCTACGGGATGACCAAGTCGATGATCCGCGACAACGGCCCCTGCTTCCTCTTCCTGCCCGTCAAGATGATGAAGGAGACCAAGGGCCACGCCGCCGTCGGCGAGTGCATGCCGATCAACAAGTGCAAGCTGGTGCACAAGGCGTCGGACGACGCGGTGGCGGGCGGGCGCGCGGTGACAGTCCTCACCTACCTGCACGGCCTCAAGGAGTGCCAGTCGGTCCTGCCCGAGATCCAGGCACAGGACTGGCTCGACACCCACCTCCTCTCGCAGCCGGCCCCGAGCCGTCTCGGCCCTGCTGTAGGCCGAGGGGCTCGACATCGACCTGATCGAGCTGCGCTCGCTCAAGCCGCTCGACATGGAGACCATCCGCGACTCGCTCGCGCGCACGCACAAGGCGGCTGTCCCTCGCACGCGCCCGCCCACTCTCGGAGCCCTCCCCTCGGAGCCTTCTCGGACCCGTCCCGCAGGTTGCCATCCTCGACGAGTCCACCAACTCGGGCGGCGTCGGCGCGACCGTCTCCGCGCTCATCCACGAGCAGTGCTTCGACCTGCTCGACGCGCCCGTCAAGCGGCTGTGTATGGACGACGCGCCTGTGCCGTATGCTTCGTCGATGGAGGTCGCCGTCGTCAAGCGCGGCTCGGACGTGGTCAAGGCCGTCTTCGACTTTATGCTCAAGAAGATCTGAGGCGGGGCGCGAGAGAGGAGGGGGTGAGGGGGGAACCCCCTCCCCCTCCCTCCGTCGGCCTTCCATTCGCTGTGCACCCTCAGCGGAGAGAGCGACACGGCTGCTGCTGCACCGCACCGCCTCCCGGCGCGGAGGCGGTCGTCTATGGACATTTGCGAGGCTCGAGAGGGCGTTGCGTTGCGCGCGGGCGGATCGCGCACGCTGTGGGTGGGTGGGTGGCGGCGGTCGATGCGGGTGTAAGAGCAACGGGCGAGTGGTGAGTGACGTGTTTGGGGGGGGGCTCCGCGCCGTGGTGCGCCGGCATGTTTTTGTTGCATATTGTGGAGAGCGAGAGGGGGACGCGCGAGTGTCGCGGTGCGGGGAAATCTGCACTGGGGCACTTGACGTTAGTTAATGCTGGGGGTGTGGGGCATGCTTGCCGTGGTTCTGGTTGCTCTCCGTCAGCGGACGGTTTTGCGACTCCGATGAAATCATCAACCTCACGTCCAGATTTTGTCAACCTCACAGACGGTTGCGATATGATTATGAAGACTGCGGCGACGGCTGTTTGGGGGCGCGGGGCGGGCGCTTTTGCCCGGTAGAAGCAGGTCGACATTGTATAGTGGCAACCACGATGGTCGAGACCGCTGTGAGCAAACACCACGCAGGAAAAGACCACCATGAGCAACACCACGAGGGAAAAAACGAATGGGCCCGCAGCGTCAAGATCCTCAGCACCGCCACGCTGATCCTCGCCATCGTCCACCTTCATTAGCATCACCACAGCCACCATCACTTCGATTCTCGCCTGGCGGACATCGTCACGCCTGGCGGACAACCTGGACGACCTTCACCCTTGGGTTTCTTGCCGTCGTGCCTGGGCAGTGTGCTGGGGCGGGTCCCCAAGGGTGAATGGACGACACCTCACCGAACTGCAGATGCTGAGAGATGGACGCGCGGGTGAAGCGGGCTGGCCCGACCTGATGAGCAGCGCTGAGACCTTCAATAGCGTCGCCCATTCCCACTCGGGGCCACAGGACGTGCGGGCCGGCCCAGCACCCAACGGTTCCTTCCCCGTGCACCCGAGCATGACCGGAACGGCCGTCTGTGGCGAACCACTTCCCGGAGATGGAGAAGGACGGCGTATACGCATTCTTCTTGCTGCAAGGTGTCAACGAGACCGAGGCCGAGTGGTTGCGGCTAGAGCCGGGCGCGGAGCGGTAACCTGAGTGGCCGTCAGCTCGGCCGCGGCGGGCATGGCCCATTCCTCGATTATCACAACAACGGCAACTACTTCGTTGGCTTCCAAATCCCACTCCACTCCAATCGCTTTGGATTGCGCGGTAACATTTTTCGGCCAGTGTACGTACCAGTGTAAAGTTGGCCGCTCTGTGTATCTCGAGACCTCGAGAGAAGGCCGCCCGCAGGCCCAAGTCAAGAATTGGCTTTCTTTTGGCGGGCAAAGTGTAAAGAAGCGTGGGAACGCGCGAGTCGGCCAGCGAACAGGTACAGCCGAGCTAACTGCGCCGACGCACCTCTGCACCCCGTCCCCGTGTCTTGAGCAAACGGCGGAATCGCGTGTCATGCAAGCAACTGCGTGCACCATTACCCTCATCCAGCAGCGCAGCAGCGTGACGTGTGTTCCTGACGGTCTCAATGCCACGTTTGGATGCATTGGCGATACGAGCAGCAGTGCTCGTGTCTGGGTTGCGCATGGATGCCGAGGGCGGTTCCTCTGCAATGGCGTCCACACACCATGCGGCTATGTGCACAGCGGCCTCCAGCAGCGTCAGACGTGCACATGCGGCACCGCCGCAAACACGTCGGCCCCGGCCGAGCATGGCCCAGCCGGTTGGGTGTCAGGTCCGTCTGATAGATCCAGGCGGGTCGGTCACGTTGCATCGGCGTTGGCCATCAAAGCCTGGACTGTGGGTGCAGGAACGCCACCGCAGTCCGCGCGTGTGGCGGCCGTGCTTGACAGACCTTGCTCAGGCGATCTGACCACGATTGGGAACAATGCGCATGTGCAACCGGCGCTCACTCTGGTGAGCGGGGATGGAGTCCGTCGCTTCTCCCCCATGTTCAGCGTGTTTTTGCACGGGCATGGCTTCATGCTGCTCGAGAACCGCGAGCCAGCCGAGGTCGCCCTGCTTCAAGCAGTCCACGCGAGCTTGAGCGCAGCGGTGCTCATCTCCTCCGAGAAGCTCCACCAACCCCATCGGTCAAAGCACCTCCTCCCCTTGGACACTTTGCTCACATCCTCCTCCAGCAATGCCACCGACGACGCTGCGCGGCAGGCGGTGTCCTCTCTTCGCGGGTTGCAGTCCCTCTTCTTCGTCGCCTTCCACCTCCTCCTGCCGACGCCAGACTACGATGCGCATGGCCAGCTCGACTCAAAGACAGACTACCTGCAAAAGGTGCTCGAGGTTGCGACTCTTTACGGCGTGATGGACAACCTGAATCGGCCCGGCTCAACGTTTCAGAACCCCCACTGGGACTATCCAAATTGGGATTCCGGATGGCTCGTCATCGATGTGCCACTCTCCGACGTGAGGCCGGGCGGAGGCCCGATTGAGATCTGGCCCGGCACGCAGCACCTGAGGTACGATCAGACCTTTGTGCACTCGCAGCAAATACTGCGAATCAGGGAGGCGGAGCCCCGGCAGTACTCAAAGTGCTTCCCCGAGATCCTGTCCATCGCCCAGCTCTGGCCATCGGCGCTGCTGCACTCGTCGCTCGGCGACATGGTGGTCCGCAACCCCTCCACTTGGCACCGGGGAACTCCCAACTCGCTCGCTAGCCCGAGGCACATGCTCTCCTTCATCTTCCGGAGGCGGAGGCAGCACGCGGTGAAGAAGCCGGTGTGATTCAACCCGATGTGGTGATGTGATCCTGAGTATGTTTAATTTAATCCCTACCGCGTTAAGTTAAGTTAAGTAGGAAGGTGAAGAATAGTCAGGCTCGGGCTGGACACCAACCGCGTATATTCCTCCCGGAGGCCCAGCCAGACTACAGTCGAGAGCGCGTCGGAGACGGGTGTTTCGACACCGAGAGCCTGTTATCACGTGTTATCCGAAAGCACTTAGCGAGCGTGTCGGCGAGCGGGGCCCTGCGAGCGGGGCGGCTTGTGAGACGGAGGCGGAGATGCTCGCCGCGCTGCCCTACTCGGTCTTCAACGCGCGCGACTTTGTGGCGGTGTTTGGCATCCCGAAGGACATCGCGGCCGCGCTGGTGGTTCAGATGGACCTCTCCCTGGGCAGGGGCATGGAAAGCATGGTCGAGGCGGAGGGGGCGCCGTGGGACGAGGCCGGCACGCAGAGCGTCATGGGAATCGCTCACACCGCCAAGGGGAACGCGCTGCAGGTGTGCGCCTCGCGCCTGGCTGCCGCCTCGGAGACGCTCGAGATCCTTGCGGCGGGCGGCAAGAGCGAGCGCGCGAGCGCCGCCCTGGCGGTGTGGCGCAAGACGGCCGAGGAGTTCCGCCATTTTGTCAGATGCAACCCCACGCTCGAGGACCTCTTCGAATGAGCGCCGGGCGTGTGCATCGTGCCCCGCCCTGCGGATTGTACACAATGCTACACACAGCCGGCCAGGGAGCGGGCTGCAGGCTGCAGGGTTGGAACGGCGGGCAAGCAGCAAGATCTGGCGTGTCCGTTTGTACTTTGAAAACACGCCAACGCATTCCACCTGTCTCTTTGTTGCATACATGTATTTCTTTCGTGTAGATCGGCAGCCAGCTGGCTGTGTGTCTTGTGAGCTTGTTTGTGTCTGTGTGTCGCTCGTGCGTGTCGTCATCATCTGTCTCGCGTCCACCCGTACCGCGTTGGTGTCCAGTCCGAGCCTGGCTGTTCTTCACCTTTCTACCTACCTACCTGGTAGGTAGGCCCCGCCCCTCTTTTCGGAGTAAGTAAGAAATGTCGCAACCCCACACCGGCGCGAAGCCCGGAGCCCACGGCGCGGATTGCAGCTGTCAACAGTCAAGGCTCAAGTTCGCTCAAGCCCACACTCTGCGCTCTGTCTGAGAGATGCTCGCACTCTATGCGACTTTCCGTCGCGCCACCACCCTCGCACCCACCCTACGTACGGCTGTGTGAGCAGCTCCCGGCGGGACCTCGAGGGACCGCACGCGCGCCCGCGCGGCGCGGGGCCCAGCCCACAGCCTCGATCGCTCGCAAGAGAACGCACCCCACAGTACGAGAGACCCTTCCCCATGTTTGCCACTGCGCCAGCTGTCCTTGCGCGCGGGCTAGGCCGCCTCCCGCGCCCTGGCCCTCGCAGCGGCACCTGACGCGCGCCTCGCTTTGGCTGCGGCGAGCGCCGCCTCTGCCGCTGCCACTGCCGCCTCCTCCGCCTCCTCCTCCGCTGCGGCAGCCTCCTCCTCCTCTGCCACTGCCACGGCCGCAGCCTCCGCCGCAGCCTGCCGGCGCGCCTCCGCTGCCGACTCCTCGCCCTCCTCCTCGCCCTCTTCCTCGCCCCCCTCCTCGGCCGCCTCCGCCGTCTCCTCGTCGCCCTCCTCCTCGCTCGCCTCGCCCGCCGCCTCTCCCAGCGCCTCTGCCAGCCCCGCGACCGACGTCTCCGCCGTGATGCCGAACCGGATCCTGTCCTCGTGGAGCTCCGCTAGAAGCCGGAGCAGCCCCTCCCTGTCCAACGGCGCGGGCTTGGCTGCGGCTGCCTCTGCCGGCGCCTTGGACTCCTGCGACGGCCCAGCGCCGCCGCTCCCGCCGCCCTTCTTCTTCTTCTTGCCCTTCTTGCCCTTGGCGCGCTTCTCAGCCTCGACCTCCGCCAGCAGCTCGTCGGCGTGCCGCGCCGCCTCCTTCTCCTCCGCCGCCCTCTGCGCCTCCCTCGCCGCCGCCTCCGCAGCCCACGCCGCCTCCTCTGCCGCCTTCTCGGCCGCCGCCTTGGCCGCCGCATGCTCCTCGAGGGCGCGCATGCACTCGGCGTGGCCCTTCGCCTTGGCGTACTGCAGCGCGGTCTTGCCCTTCTTAGAGCACAGCGTCATATCTGCGCCCGCCCGCAGCAAGCGAAGCACCACGGCGGGATGGTTGCCAAGGGCGGCGAGAATCAGAGCGGTGCCGCCGGTGCTGCCCCGCATGTCGATCTCTGCGCCGGATCAGCGTGCCGACCACCCGCTCGTGGCCTTTGTAGGCGGCCTCGATCAGCGCTGTGCTGCCAAGATTGTTTTGCTGGTCGATCTCCGCGCCGTGCCGCAATGCCAGCTCGACCAGCTTCTTGTGGCCGTTCACAGCGGCGAGACTCAGCGGGCGCTTCTGCAAAGAGACATCCGCGCCGCGCCGCAGAAGCGCCTCGGCCAGCCCCGCGTGGCCTTTGATCATTGCGATCATCAGCAGCGTCACGCCGCTCACGCGAGTGCCGCAAGCAAAGGTGTACTCGAACGTCGCGTCGACCCACCCGCCGCCGTCGAGCCACGCCAGCACCGGAAATCCGTCGCCTCCACGAGCCGCAAGCACGACCTCCTCTGGCACCTCTCCGCTGCCCGGCGCGGGCTCCGCGCTGCCCTCGCCGCTCGAAGCAGAGGCCGCAGCACTGGCGCCCGCCGCCGCCTCGACTTCCGGTGCGCCGTTCGCCCCTGCGCCGCCCGCCTCGGCCGACGGCGCCTCGCGCCGGCCCGCCACCTCCCCGAGATACGTCCTGAAAGCCTCGACGCACTCGGCGTGGCCCTTCTCGTTGGCGATCTGCGGTGCCGTCTTGCCCTCCGCAGTGCGCAGCGTCATGTCCGCGCCTGCGCGC